GCCAGGAAGGCACAAGCAGCAGCTTCAGTGTGACAGTAAGGCCTTCCCTTTAGCACTTCATGAGCACAAAGCTCACTGCCTTCAAGACATACTGTGATACCTCACTTCTTACTAAAAACTACCCCAGTATTTGGATGCACCGCCATTTTATTATCTCCTCCTCAGTTAATAAGACTAGCTGGCTCAATCATGAATGCTGCTGCCGGGAATACCTGTGTCGAGCTGACGTGGGCCACACCCCACAACCCTGCCTGGTATCCTGCATGCGCTGTGACCCAGCCCTGCGCCACTGCCATGCATGATCACACACAAATCCCGCCCCACGTCCATGTGTGCTGCCGGTAGACCCCACCCAGAGCATCCTGGTCTCTGCGGGGAGCAGACATGGTCAGGGGAGGGCTTACAGGTGGGGAAAGGGCTGTGTAGGGCTTCACCTTTCCACAACCTCACAGAGCCGTTCCTTTTACTGCGACCCTCTAGACAATGGAGCTGGCACAGGACATCATGGCAAAATGCCACCAACACACACCTCGACCCCGTGTCTCTTCTCAGGAGCCTCCTCTCCTGAGCAAGAACAGAGCAGGCAAAGCTGGAAGCAATCTGTCTGCCATCTGCCCTTCTGGCAACCCCACCAAGCCTCCAGGACCCTGAGTTTTCCACAGCTGGTCAACTGCAAACTTGTCAAGTACCACTTCCCTGACAGTCACTCACACAGTGCCTGGAGAGGAAGGCACGAAGTCGAAGCCACAGAGAACTAGCGCCCAATATGGCGGAGAGTGCTCATCATAGGGACCCATGCTGGGTAGCTCCCCATCACTTCCCTTCATTGTCCACATCCTGGCGCTATTCCTGGGCTGCCCAATCCTTAGAGCAGAAGTCCCACGAGGTTTCTATGGCAGGGCACGAGCCGAGGAGAGGCAGGGGGTGGTGTCCCCCAGGCTGTTGCCATGTGCTTTGTTTACCTTCTCTGTGGCCAGGTGAAGATGTCTTCCTCTCACCGGCAAAGCTCGGGGTGGCTGTAGTTTGCTGGTGGTCCTCCTCGGTGGTCCAGCCTGATTCGGAGGTTGGGAGGTCCTTGACTCCCCTGGCAATGACTGAGAGGAGCAGGGCAGAGCCTGGCTGCTCTGGGTCTCGATGGGCCCAATCGGGACAGGAGAACCGAGCATGGCTGGAGAAGCCAGCAGCTGGGGCTCCCCCAAGAGAGGCTGTACCCCTGAAGATGGCAGGCAGAATGTCTCTCTTTTAAGTGACATGGGGCTTTTCTCCCTCTCCTGTTCTTTGTCAAAGAGGCTGATTTTTAGCTGTGAGTCCTGCACAAACATTTCCATGCCTTGGTTCACGGGATTTTGGGGTTTGGCAGCCTGGGCCACCTCTCTTCGGTTGTGGTTTTCTATCTGTAAGGCCAGTAAGTGGGCTTCTTTGTACACCTCTACAAACTTCTCCCCGGTGAGAGGACTCCAGGTATAAGAGCTGCCAGAGGCTGGTGTAAGAGTCTGCCCAGGAACTGGACCGCTTAAGTCCAAGCTGGCAGCAATGCATCTTTCTTTATGTCCAACAGGCCCAAAAAAGACTTCATCATCTTCATTTGCACTGTGTTCAAAGAAAAGGATTGTCAGTGATAAGTCACACTGGCATCCAGATGAAGGGCTTTAATGAATGTGTCTGCCGAGGCAGGGAAGAAAATGGATTTGTTTACCTTGAAGAAGACAAGGAAAGATCAAAGTCAAATTTTTCATCTTCCAAAAGAAGAATGTCTAGGGGGTGGAAAGAAAAGTCCACTGTTACTTTAGGGCTAGGATTCAACAGGGAAACGTTACCAGTGTCTGTTGGTTTCTTAGCTGCTATAGTTTCACTCTGAAAAGAAACAAATTATTGCTTTAACTGGATCAGTTTTCATGGGGAACTCAAGTCCATCTTAGTTTCCATTTTCTCTCTCAAGTTCCAGGAGCCATTCTGAGTGTGCTGACCCAACCCAAAAGCACAGAATCTTGCCACTCCCCCCCCCCCACCATGGACAGGGAAGGAGAAGTTACAGAGAAAAAAAAACAAAACTCAGCAAATACAAAATAAAATTTCAGAACATTATTTAACTTCTTATGAATTCACTAGGCCTGTGATTAGTTATAGGCATTTATATGTTCTTACAGTACTAGAGATGGAAATGTGGATCTCACATGCTAGGCAGGTGTCTTACCAACAGCAACACCCCAGCACAGACTTGCCTCTTGAGCAACAATATAAGCAACCACAACCAAGAGCAAAACGTTCCAATCGGTAGCACAAGAGCCACCAGCTTCAATCACTCATTTGTACTCACTTTTAGTAATGATACACCATAAAAACAGCATACCAATCATTTTAAAGGAAGACTTTACTTTAGCATGGTGTCTGGCTGTGTAAATTACTGACTAAAGAACACAGTATTCAGCCATGCCTCAGAACCTTCTTTTTGTGATAGAATCTACACATATCCACAGATCATTCTAAGGGTTTCCGAGAGGCCTAGGTCACCTTTGAGCACAGGATATTTTCTAAAGACCCTCAGATTTAAATTATGAGATCCCTATCCATCCGTCAACAATGAGTTCAAGGATGAGTCAAATTCACAGTAGAGACCCTTCCTGGGTCATTCTGCCCTCCATCTAGTCCATATTCCTAGCATAGCCTTGGTTGGCCCAACTACTTATTTGTATGGCTCCTTCTAACAGACCAGCAACTTCCCAATTGTATTTAAGGTCTGCTCCACTACGGGGAACCTACATGTGGTACTGTAACTCAAAACCAAAAACTATGGCTGAGAGCCATCATAGGTCCCAGTGGGGACTCCTCTGCCTTCGTTTTGCTAAGTGGACATGATGTACCAGGTAAGTTGTCTCCTAAACATTTATATTTAAGCCCATAGATTTCTGTTCTGCCAGGCTTGGTCAGGGAAGTCTCCTGTAGTGGGCATCAGTTATTGTATGAAGCAGTCTCATAGGGGTCACAGTGAAGAGGGTTCAAAACCTGATAGGACACAGAGGCTCAGTGCCCAGCCCTAAAAGAAAACAATTGTAACCTGCATCAGCCCTCCAAGACTCAGGGAGCAAAGTTACTGTCCACCAAGTCTGACGGCTTGAGTTCAAGGCCCTGGGACCCACAAGACAAAAGGAGAGTTCTTCCATGCAAGTTGTTTTCTGAACTTCCACAGGGGCATGTGCACCATGGTAACCTCCTCCCAAAGACAGGGTTTCTCTGTGTAGCCCTGGCTGTCTTGGAACTTGATCTGTAGACCAGGCTGGCCTCGGAAGTCCAAGATCAAAGATCCACCTGCCTCTGCCTCTTCAGTGCTGGGATTAAGGCCTGCATGACCACCACCACCCAGCAAGGATTTCTTTTCAAAGAAAGGATCTTGATTTCTGTGCGTTCAAAGCCAGCCAGGTCTATATAATATAGTGAGTTCCAGGCTACAAAATGAGATCCTGTCTCCAAAAAAACAAAACAAACAAACAATCAAAAAAAAAACCACAAACAAAAAAGAAAAAGAAAAGAAGGAATGTGGAGGAGGAGAAAAAGACAAGAAAAAGTCAGAGGAGGGGTGGTGTGCACTCTGTCTTCAGTGCATAAGGAAGCTGTTCCATTTTGATATCACAGCAACTGTGATTCCCCCACAGGAGACTCTCACAAGACTGAGCCCTGGGATGCCCTTCTGGAAGTGAGGGAGGGCCCGCGGACTCTCGGATGATATGTAAATGGTTTACAATTGCTGGGGTCTGGGGGAGGGGTGAGCCTCTTTGGTGATGTTGCTTTAAGTTGCTAATGTCCTTGTAATTAACTCCAGTTAAATTCATTCGCTTACCAAGCCAGACTTGCTCACTTCTTTGGTCTGTTGTCGTCCTCTATTCTATTTGGGGTGACTAGAAATACACTCCCGGAACAGTCGCACGGACAGAAATGACCTACCTTCCTTCTTACTACCAGCATCCATCTTCACCTCTCTGGCCTGGCCGGATGAAGGCACGCCGCGTCCGCCTCCTCCTTCTATAAAGTTCGCTGCTGGAAGCAGGGGGACCAGAGGGTGAGGGCATGTCAGAGGCAAGCCCCAGCTTGCTCCCTGTCTCCCGAAGACAGTGCGCCCCGAGGCGGGGTAACGGATTCCCGGCTCTGAGCTGCAGAGCAGGCCCGGGAACCCATCCCCCTCGGTCTCTGCGGCACGAGGCCGGGTTCCCCACTTTCTCCCACCCCAGGACCGCTCCTTACCTCCCACAGTAAGGACTCTTTCACTCGGAAAGCCGAAAACCCAGCTGGTATTCAGCCACGGATTTAAATGCAGCGCCGGCCTTTGCCAGCCGCCGATTGGCCGGTTTGAACAGGGAGATGCTCTCGGTGCATCTTGGGAATTGTAGTCAGAGTGCTGATGGACGCGACTAATGCGCGCTCACAGGGACTCTACGCCATGGATTGGCTCTGCTCAGCGCCGGATACTCCCACCGGAAGTACCCGTGAGTTTCCTCCTCAGCACACACTCTTGGGTTCCGCCTGTGGCTGTGCTAGCTACGGGGCTGGGGCGGTGAGGGTGGGGTGTGGAGATTGGTCCGGCAGGTGAGAAGGTGTGCGTCAGTCGGGCGTTGGTGGTGCACACCTTTAATCCCAGCACTCGGGAGGCAGAGGCAGGTGAATCTCTGTGAGTTCGAGGCCAGCCTGGTCGAGTTCCAGGACAGCCTCCAAAACAATACAGGGAAACCCTGTCACGAAAACCCAAAAAAAAAAAAAAAAAAAAAGGTGTTCGTTTTCACCACTACTCTCTTTGGTGCTTGTCTTGGTATCTCTGATAGTTCTCTTACGTCCGGGAACTCTGCAGCCTGAGACCTGCTCCTATGCTGATAGTGCTGGCCCAGCCTGCTGAAGTGTTAGATCCCAGCATATGCAAGTTCACCAACCCTTCTCTTTGTATCATATCAATTCCTAGTAGATGTTCAGTAAAGCATAGCCCTAAATTAATAATTAACTAATTACATTTCCTCTTGGCTTTTAAAATATACCTTTATTCCCTTTTTGTCAATGTGTGAGTATGTACATGTAAGCTGGTGCCTACAGAGGCCTGAAGAGGGTGTCAGATCCCCTGAGGCTAGAGTTACAGGCAGGCAGTTGTGAGCTGCCACACGGGTGCTGGGAACTGAACCCTGGTCCCCTAGAAGAGCAGCAAGTGCTCTTAACCACGGAGCCATCTCTACACACACACACACACACACACACACACACACTTTCTCTTTAAATTAGTGATCTGTCCCTGGTAGAGTCATGCCCTCCTCCATTGAAGCTTACACGCCTACACACCGGCTTTTACAGGCAGGTCCTCAGTGGAAACCACTGAGTGGCTGGGTGATACAGAGCTCACACTTCCTGACCAGAAAGAAATCATAGCAGAAAGCGGTACAACAGCAAAGGCAGGTACTGAGGGCTGTGGGGCAAAGAGAAGGCGCTGTCACCAGCCCACAGGAAGGCTGGGAGGCTTCCTGAAAGAGGGAGCAAGGCTCCTACTTCCTGGGTAAATCCTGTATTATTTGGAATAAGGTTAAAAAAATCATGAGGAGCCCTCCATCTCCCCCCTCCCCCCACGAGCCCCTTGGTGCCTGTCTTAGGCTGCGGGGTAGAGAGACAGTACCTTTAAAATCTCATGACAATTACGCAATTTCTTGACTTGCTGCCCCACCCACTGAAAATTGAAGGAGAAGCCTATCTCCCCAGGACCCAACCCAAACCTGGCATCCAGGAGATGCTCTGAGGTGTCCACAGGAGTGAGTGATCAAAGGAACCCATTAAAATAATGTCCAGAATCTGTTCAGGACTGAGCTGACTGGGCAAAGCTCGGGAGGTCTGCCGACCTCCGTGTCCCCCTGGGAGACCTACCTGCCCATTAGTCCACACTAACGCGGGAACTGAAGGAGCCTGAGGAGCATCTTTGCATTTGCACCCCCCCCTTCCGGAGAGCAGCAACAAGCCTCCCAGGAGGGCTGTCCTGTCATGCACCCAGGGATGTGTTTACTCTCGTGGCGGCCATGTCAGTGTTGTGGTTATTTGCCACAGCAGAGCAGATCCGGGCTCAGTTCTCAGACTCACTCAGAAGAGCAGACTCAGAGCCCCATCCCTCAAGCTTCACTCCCATATGCAGTTTACAGAGAAGCTCCAGGTGGCACCACCAACCCCCCCCCAACCATCCTTCCCCTCATCTTTGGAGAGGGTGGCAAGTGCTGCAATCTAGGGCTGATAGCCAAAACCAATGAAGCAGAGTCCCCTCCCCCTCAAAAGGAAAAGCCTCTGCTGGCTGGGACCCCAGGCAGCTCTCACTGGAATCCTTCCCAGGGACAGTGGGACCTGTGTAGAATATAAGGAAAACTAAATGAAAAGGTTTCACTAGTGCCAGGTGTGTGTGTGTGTGTGTGTCTGTCACGTGTAGACCTCCCAGCTGAGCTCGTTACACCTTTACCCTGCCTGCCAGCAGCAGAACAAGAAAACACAAAGGCATCTGCAAATAATAGCACTGCTTTGGTTCTGGAGGTTTAAAAATGCATGTTGGCCCTGAGAGGAATTCTGAATATCCACTCAAAATTAACTTGTGTCCCTCATTTCTACTAAACTACTGATCTGGAAAATTCTACTTTATCCTCTGACAATCAAGTCCAGCTGTTTCCTAACCCTAACCCAACCAGACAGTCAACCTAAAGCCAGGAGGTCAGTGCTGAGCTGTAGGCCAAGGACCTGGCCTGGGTTACTGCATGAGATGGGCAGTGGCTGCCTTGCGGATGAGCCGCTCAGTCAGGGGTGAGTTGGGTTTCAAGGCATCACGCTCCATCAGAAGGCTCCTGTGGAAACACACAAGAGTTTTTGTTATAGAACCTTCTAGAAGGATGTGGGAGCATGACTGGTGGGAGCAAATGGGTACAGCCAGCTGGACAGTACTTTGATTCTGCCTTAGAGACAAACACTAGAGATAAGGACTCCAGTGTAGGGCTGTCACTGTGGCTTGCCTGTCTCAGGGGACCTCATAGCTCATGCTGCTGTCACAGCCTAACGCTGAGGACCAGAGGGAGAAGAGACATGGCGTGTGGCAGGAAGTCACATGTGAAATGGGTCCAGGAAAAGCAAGCGAAAGAATAGGTAGGTGCGTAGGGAAAGCGTTCATTTGAAGAAAGCAAGAGCAGAATCCATCAGAGGTAAAGCCCCCCTGCTGTGGCTGACTCTTGACACCCTTGACGCCCTCAGCATCAGCATGACTTAGGAGGTAGGACCCTTACCGTGGGATTTGTGTATAAGGAACACAAGGGAATCTGTCCTCTAAGTGCTCAGGGAAAGCCAAGACATAGCAAGAAGCTCTGAAGCCAGGAAGAGGGGCACACCAGAAACTGAATCCTGCTGGGTCCTGATGCAGGACATTTCAGAGAACTGCAAGATAAGATGAGTCTGGTGTGTGAACAAACCACCATGCTTGTGTTTGGTTTATTTTGGTAACACCCTGAGGACATTAAGATAGAGATAGATTAACAATGATGGGTTTAACTGGGCATTGGCCTTTAATCCCAGCACTTGGGAGGCAGAGGCAGGCAGATCTCTGTGAGTTCAAGGCCAGCCTGGTCTACAGAGCCAGTTACAGGACAGCTTCCAAAACAATACAGGGAAACCCTGTCTCAAAAAAACAAAATAACAACAACAATAAAAAATGATGGGTCTGTGGTGAGTGAGTGAGGTTAAGGGGCTGGGGCTTGGTACACAGGCAGGGGACAACACCACAGCCAGGGTAGAAATGTATCAGCCTGCTTTCTGCTGCTATAACAAAATATCCAAGGCTGGGTGCTTTGTAAAATTAAAGGTTTTATTTAGCTAGGTTTCAGAGACTGGAAGTCTAAGACAGAGGCCCTATCTGGCTCCAGATGAGGCTACTTCTCTGGGTGAACAGGGAAGAGAGGCAGAAAGGCAAATGACTGCATGCAGATGAGGTTGAGCAAACTGAGTGACTTCGCTCTACACCACTGTCCTTGGAGAGCATTAGCTAGGGCCCCTGGAGAATGACTTTAATATTTTCTGAGAGTGTGTGCGGCCCCAGGACCCCATTCCAGGAGTCCTCTCAACTCTCTTCCCCTTCTCAACAATTCCAAACTGGGGAACACACGTCTAGCACACGGACCCTAAGAGGGTCGTACACAAACCATCCCAAACCACAGCAGAGGGCTTTTGCCTGTGCAGGGATGGACTGCAAAGGGGGGCAGGCACTTGGAAGGAATGCCCGACCCTGCAGTGCCTTCCCAGGCAGCTGTGCGGCCTCTCTCCCCTGCACTACCTCCTATGTAGGACGTAAGCTGTGTCACATCTACTCCAGGGTGGGCCACACTGCACCCTAGAGTCTGCCTCAGCTCAACCCTCAGCCCCCTCCTCTGTCCACAGAGCCCACATCCTCCTTGCTGTGCCCACAGGCCCCACTTTTTACTAACAGCAGGTCCCCCAGGGGGCTCGACCACGACAACATCACATGGGCTTTCTGTATCTGGACATGGAGTGACAATGGACAGGGGCATGTCCACGATATTTCTGAGTTCAGAGTAGTTCAAATGTTCCTAGGCATCACCTGTACTGCTGAGGGTCTGGCCCAAAGGCCAGGGCACCTGCCTAGACCTCTTCTCACAGGACAGGGTCCCAGGGCTCCTCTCCTTGGCAGGGTGGGTGGTGAGCCAGGGGAAGAAAGGATAATGGCTAAGGCTATAGGAGTTCCTCCACTGGGTGTCCCAGACACCCCCAGTTTCTAGGTCTGTGGCTTTCTCTCCTAACCAGGGCCACGGGCTAAGTGCATTGGGCATTTAGTCTCCCTCCACATCTCCACAGGACATCCTATGCTCCTCCACCCCCTCACCAGATCCACCATCATCCTCTCCACCCAAACTATCCAGATATTTTGTGTGATGAACTGTTCTGTGCCCCATGGAACCCATATACCCACCCACTCAGTGCTGTGTCCCACTGAGGCCTAAAGGGGAAGAGAAAAAAAGAGACAGTGTGTCCCAGGCAGAGGGCATAGCACACGCAAGGACCTGAGAACAGGTGTCGTAGCTACCTGTGCAATTTAGCATGGCTAAAATGGGAAGTAGGCAGGGGAGGCAGGAGGCTGGGAAAAAGGCTGTCCCCCCTTTGTCAAGTTGAGCCTGCTAATAAGTGAGAACCAAATGCCCAGTTTGCCTCCTGCTTTCTGAACCCCAAAAGCAGAAGCGTACATATCAAGGCAGATGCATGCATAGGGAAATCATGTATAGGGTACCAGCCCAGGCCTGGCTGTAGGAAGGGCCAAGTGCTCACCGGGCCACATTCTTATGAACACTGGAGGTGCAGTTGATGGCGGCATGAATCAGCAGCTGGTTGAAGACGTCTCTCTATGAAGTCAGTTAGGCAAGTTAGGCACCTGGGATGCGGATCAGGGAGGGGTCCCCAGCCCAAAGGAACCACTGAGACAAACACCACCCTCATCACATCCCCCGGTGTCAGTGTGAAACAAGAATACTCATACCCCATGAGTGCTGGCTACACAGGAGACACCTGGCTGCTGGGCAGTGCTCTCCAGCCCCCTGGGTTCCTGTATGTAGCTGGCTCACCTGGGCGTTGCTGCCCCCAATCTGGACAATTCGGTAGCGGATTGGCAAGAGAAGTTCTAGGACTCGGTCAGGACTCCCGTTCTCAGCCTCCACAAGGGCCTGGCACAGGGGCAGCCCCACATCTTGTGCCAACTGATGCTGGCAGTTCTCACCTGGGGACCTGTCACCAAGACCAAAGCTCAGTATCCACTTTACAAAGGGCCTTTCACAGCTGCCTGATGGCACTCTGAGGGAAACAGGAGGCAGAAGCATCTGCCCAGTGTAGGGAGACGACCTGGCTCCCTGTCCCCAGCCTCAGTTTGCCCCTCTGGAAAGTGGTGTAACAGCACAGTGGAGAAATCAGGACTGCAGACATTGCAGGCAAAGCCTGGGCACTAACAGCCAGTGCTACTGTGGTTACCAAAGAATGTGTCGGTAGTAACCTGTCTTCCCAGGCCACCCTTGTCAGCTCAGAAGGCACCATTTCCAACAGATAAAGAAACTGAGGCCCAGAGCAAGGAAGATGCCAACCGGACCCTTGGAAGTCAGATACCCATGAAATACACGCCTGCATGGGCGCCCACCTTGGGGACACCCACCTAGAAGCATGGATATCTTCAAGCTGTGGTCACCAGCAGGACCTTACTCTAAGGTTTCCCCGAGAAGCCAGGGTGACCCCTGTACTCCTTCACCCTCTCAGCTGGCAGACTTCTTGGACTCGGGGTGTCACATACTCGCTGGCCTCCTGTAGGGTAGTCAGCAGCTCCTGTGTGGTCTGGAGGTCCCGTGCGCCCAGGGAGGCCATCAGGAAGTGAGCGTCATTGAACAGAAGGATGTGGTCTCGGGTGTGCTTCTTAGTCACAGGTAGGACAGCCTGCCACCGCTGGCCAAGGGACACCCCTGGGGACCAAAAGAGGAGCCAAGGGCTTGGTATAAGGCAGCCCTGCACCCATGTCCCTCAGAAGCCCATCGATCTTGTCCTGGTGAGAAGTCAGGTGACTAGGGCCACCAAGACCTATGCTCTCCTTGTTTTCCTAGAGAAGCAACAAACCCATGAGGTAAAAGAAAATTTGAAAAATGGTCAAAGGTTATGAAGCTATTCCTAGGCCCCTTCCAGACCCCCCAAAAACATGTTTTAAATTTTCTTTATGTAATCACCAATCTAGTACCTGTGGAGAGATGACTCGGCAGTTAAGAGCACATGGGTTCGGTTCCCAGTTTCGACATGGTGGCTCACAGCCTTTTTCTAGCTCCATATCCAGGGAACCCAATGCCCTCTTCTGACCTCCATAAGCACCAGGTACACAAATACATGCAGACAAAATACACACACACACCAAAAATATTGTTTCAAGTCTAGTACCTGATTCACAATGGGCATTCAATAAAAGCCAGTGGTATCAATAAATAACACTCTTCTTAAGTTTGAATTTTCTGGCTCTAGAAATTCATTCCCTACCTTTGCCCCAGACTCCAGCCTCCCACCTCCTTTTCTTCCCTCTTGGTCCTGGAATGCTAGATTAGCTTTCTTCTCTAGGGCATCTCCATCCGCCCAGAGGGCCCTAGGTCTGTTTCTCGCCTATCAAATGGAACAGTGAGCGCCAGGCGGTGGTGGTGCATCCCTTTAATCCCAGCCTTCCTTAGCATCTCTCTCTGTGGGGCGTCATCTGACCCTCCAGGCATGGGCAGGAAGCCAGCCCCGTCAGGGCAACTGTGAAGCCTAAGGTGACAAGCTGAGAAGCCTCTGCAATGTCAGAGTTGGGAAATCATCACCTCCCGTGATCTGGGAAAAGAGGCATCAGCCAGTCGCCAGCTGCCACGTGTGCCCTGAAAGGCCTGCCAGGCAGGCTCTGGGAAAGGCAAAGCTCAGAGCCTAAGGCCACTACACCAAGGGGGTGGGGGTGGAGAATGGGATAAAGAGCAGCTGAGGCTAGGTCAGTTGCCTTGGACTGGCACAGAGACAGCAGCATAAGCTGGCATGCAAAGCTATAGCTAGGCCCATTCATCCCGAGACCTGTGGTTCTGGCACCCGCCCTAAGACCAGCAATCCCATTTTCTCTCGTTGTGTAAGGAGAGAAGACACGCAGTTACCTTCCATCTGAAGACGGTAGAGCATGGAGCAGCTGTCCACCACATCCAGCATGGCGCCACTGGCCTGCAGGCTGGGGAGGATCTGAAAGACAAGGGCCATGGGAGGCCAGGCTCAGAGGGCCAAATAATGACAGCGACATGAGTACAGCCAGAGTTCCCATCTGAGCCACGCCTGTGACCTGCACAGAGAAAGCTCTCAGCAAACAAAAGCTATAAGCGTCCCAACCACCCGAAGCAATGTCCTTGTCACTTCTCATCCTTCGTGCTAAGATCAAGTGCAGGACCACAGCGCCTACTAGGGGACTGTGCAGCTGCGGGTGCCAGAATGTATGAGGGACACACACACACACACACACACACACACACACACACACACACACACACACACACACACACACACGAGCCCACTGCACTGTTTGCCAGGGTTAGTGCTAGGACCTGTCAACTGCCACCCCCAGCCCCACTCTGGAAGGAGACTCCTGTCTTGCCTCGCCATGTTTCTAGATTCGACTTTGTTCACCAGGAGACCTGTATACACCTCAGAGCACACAGTGCGTGTCACCCCCCATTTCTTTTCTAAGAAGCTGATTGTGGCAGGAGAACTCGTCCCAGGGACCCTTGTCTGCTAAGTGTCTCTCTTGTGTTCAGACCCCCCCACATCATGAGCACCCTGTGCCAAAATTTTATTATGAAGCCCTCACTTGGGAGTTCCTCCTTTCAAAGCATGCTCAAGGGGTGAGAGGAGAATTTGAGTTTGGGGAGAGGACAAGGTTCCAGAGGTGACAGATGGGATGGGGCTTACTGTAATACTACACAATTTATCATCACCACCACCACCACCATCAGTATTTTATACATGTGAGTGTTTTGCCTGCATGTACGTCTGTGTACCACATGTGTGACTGATGCCCACAAAGGCCAGAAGTAGGCACCTTGTTTCCTGAAGCTGGAGTTACAGATAGTTGTGAGCTACCATGTGGGTGCTGGGAATTGATTCTGGGTGCTCTGGAGCAACAGTTGGTACTCTTAAACATTGACTCATTTCTGTAGCCCCACACTTTTTTTTTCTTCCTTTTTTATGTAACACTAGGAGTTGAGCATAGGATCCCAAGCATGCCACACAAGTGCTCTAACACTGATATCCCCAGGCCTTTTTTAAAACTTTTGATTCTGAGACAGTCTCATTAAGTTATCCAGGCTAGCCTTGAGCTCACTTGGTAGCCCAGATATACCTTGAGCTTTCAAATCCTCCTGCCTCAGACTCCTAAGAAGCTAGGATTCCAGATCTGTAGCACCATGGTTTGATTAAGTTTTGTAGCATAGATTTTAAAACAGTAAAAACAGACAGGAGTCTGGAGAGATGACTCAATGGTTAAGAGCACTGGCTGCTCTTCCAGAGGGTCAGGGTTCAATTCCCAGAAACCACATGGTGGCTGACAATCATCTGTAATGATGCCCTCTTTTGGCCTGCAGGCATACATGCAGACAGAACACTGTATACATAACAAAATAAATAAATAAACTATCTAAACTCCAGTTTTAGGGGGTCTGGCCCCCTCTTCTGATCTTTGCAAACACCAGGCATGCATGCAGTGCACATACATACAAGCAGGCAAAACACTGGTGAAGCCAAACCTGATTTAATGCCTGGGACTCACATAGTACAAGGAAAGAACTGACTTCTGCAAGTTGTTCTCTGACTTTCATATATACATATATATATATATATACATATATATACACATATATGTGTGTGTATGTATATATATATGTCATAGCATATATACACATACAAAATTAATGTGGTTTTTTATTTTGAGAAAGGGTCTTACTGTGTAGCTCTGGCTGTCCTGGAACTCACTATATAAACCAGGCTGGCCTCAAACTCAGAGAGATCTGTCTGCCTCCTGAGTGCTGGGATCAAGGAGTGTACTATAGGCCTGGCTCTGATTTAAAAAAAAATCTATATATATATGTATGTGTGTGTGTGTGAACAAGCCTAGTGGTAGTGGTGCACACCTTTAATCCCAGCACTCAGGAGGCAGAGGCAGGAGATCTCTGTGAGTTCAAGGTCAGCCTGATCTACAGAGAGAGAGTTCTAGGACAGCCAAGAGCTACACAAAGAAATTCTGTCTTGAAAAAACAACAACAACAACAACAAAAGAAAGAAAAAAAGAAAAGAAAAAGAACAAAACCAAACCTCCTATGGACAGATGAATTACCTCACTAAGAATATCCATCTGAAAGGACCGTGACAGTCAGAGATTACCTTAGCCATGTCAACCTCCAAACCCCGTGGGTGAACAGTAAGCAGAGACTCCATGGTACGTGGAGTCAGAACATGGCTCTTGACAAGAGCCAATTCCACGGAGTCTGGGGGCTTCCTCCCACCATTTTCTCTGGCTGGGACAATGCCAACAGGCCCAGAGGCTACGAGAGACAAGCTGACCGCAGCAACGAACCATAAACAGTGTGAGTTGCACTTACATGGTTGTCATAGATGGTTAGCGCAGCCTCGTATTCTCCCTGCAAAGGTGAAATTGCTGTGCTTAACATCTGCAGAAGTCAAAAGGAGATACACTAGGAATAGCTGGCCAAGGTCCCCACTAAGGGAGATGGGCAGGGCCCAGTGGGAACCCAGTGTGGAGAAAGGAGGTGGGCCCAACCTTTGTGCCATGGGGTCTCACCTTGCATGTATTTTTATCTCTGGGCATCTTAGAAGCCTCCATGTCTTTCTCTATGGTAACAGTACTGCAAGAAGCGCCCTGACAAATGGGTCACTGCCCATCCCCACCACCTGTCCCCACTCCCTCTTGTCGTAGAATTATTTCTGGTGCTGTAAGTCCAATTTGAGACCCTCCCTGTACCCCAAGCAGTAAAGACGCACTTGGTTCCAAACCACCTGTAGTGGTATGACAGTATGCACTGTGGGCTCAGATGTTTGAATATGTGGCCCCCAGTTGGTGGCACTGTTTGTGCAGGCTTAGGAGGTGTGGCCTTGCTGGAGCATGTCACTGGGAAGGGGAGGGGCTTTGAGAGCTTAAGGCTTCACTTTCTCTCAGTCCATGTTGCTTTGTGCCTGGAAGATGTGGAGCTCTCAGTGTCCAGTTCCTGCATCCATGTTTGCAGCTAGCTGCCATGCTTCCCCACTGTGAAGGAGGCTCTCATGCCTCTGGGGACAAATAAACCCTTCCCCTCCACAAGTTGCCTTGGTCACGGTGTTTTATCACAGCAATAGGAAAGTAACTACTAAGCCACACGAGCCCCACTTGCCAAGAGTGAAAAATGTCTCTGAGGAGCTCAGCATGCAAGGCTCTTGGAATGTGAATACCGTATTGCGTTAGACACCATCTGTGCTGGGCACTTTATGTCATCTGAGAGGAGGGAACTTGAGTTAAGAAAACACCTTACTTGTAGGCAAGCCTGTAGGGTATTTTCTTAATTAGTGATTGATGGGGGAGGGCCCAGCTCTCTATAGGTAGAACCACTCTGAGCTGGTGGTCCTAGGTTCTATAAGGAAGCAGACTGAGCAAGCTGTGATGAGCAAGCCAGTAAGCAGCACCCCTCCATGGCTTCTGCATCAACTCCTGCCTCCAGGGTCCTTCCTTCCCTGTTTGAGTTCCTGTCCTGGCTTCCTTCAGTGATGGACTACAATGTGTAAGTGTAAGCCACATAAACCCTTTCCTCCCCAACTTGCTTTTGGTCATGGTGTTTCATCACAGCAATAGAAACCCTAAGACACCATCTTTTGTACCAGTACACAAAGGTGCAGCATGGAAGTCAGACACATACCATAGGCTCTTCTCTGGACATCTGCCCTGGGTGAGACAAGCCAAAGAGGCAAACATCCTACCTTTTCGATCAAGTACAGGGCCCAGTGCCAATAATTATGGCAAGCGAGCATGTCAGAGTCCTGCAGAAAGAATGAGAGAAAGTCTGAGCTCTGAGGTCTGGGCCTAAGAGTTCAGTTGGTATCATGAATGAACCCCTGGGTTCAATCTCCAACACTGAATAAACTAGGTATGGTGGGTCACACCCGTGATCCCAACACGCACTGTGATCCCAGTGCCGTAGAAATAGAGGATCAGAAGTTAGAGTTTGGGCTGGGGAGATGCTCACTTGGTACAATGTTTGCTGTGTAAGCACTGAAGAGCTGAGTTTGACTCCCGCACCTACGTAAAAGCTGGACATGATGGTGTGTGCCTGTAACCCCAGGGGGAGCCTGGAGGTTTTCTAGCCAGCTAGTCTTGCCTAATCCGTAAGCTCCAGGTGCTAGGGAAGAGACTGCTCAAAAAACAAGGTAGATGGCAACTGAGAAATGACTGTGGCTTCCACAAGCACATATATACATGTGCACTTACACCAACATACATGTTCAAACACATAGGTATACACACACACACACACACACACACACACATGTGGCTGTGTGTGTGTTCTGGGGGAGGAATATGGAGGAAGGGAGCCAGGCCAGCTGGTGGACAGGGCCAACTAGTGCTCCACACCCTACCCACAAAATCTTGCAGTATCTGCCTGGGGAACCCCAGGAAAAAGTAGCCTCTCTGGCTTTAGGTTCCTGGTGGACCCTAGAATTTTCCAGACCCTGGGCATCTTTAGAATGGGCTGCATGTTCATAAGCCTCCCAGTAAGCCAGCTGCACCTAGAACCATGCCTGGAGATGCCGGGAGCTGGCTTGGCTACCAGTCACAGTCCTAGCCTAGGGAACTGCTCAAGAGGGATGCTGGTGGTCACTGCATCCAGCCTGGACTGCTCAAGAGGGATGCTGGTGGTCACTGCATCCCGCCTAGGGAACTGCTCAAGAGGGATGCTGGAGGTCACTGCATCCCGCCTGGACTCTGAGGCACTGAGTATCTATTACTCAGTGGTAGGCCCTGGTGAGGGCTTGCTTCCCTAGCTGGTGGTACCCTTGGAGCCTGCTATGGCACAGAAGGACAGGGCAGCAAGGACACCAAAGGCAAGTCCAGTGAAAACAGGCACACCCGGAGGAAGAAGGACCACCACAGCTAGTGGGCCAGGAGGACATGGCCCTAGAGGGGGCACCAGCCAGTCAGGAGCAGGGAAGAGCACAGTGGGGAATATGGAATAGGGGCAATGAGGCCGAAGAGTGTTCAGGCCATGGAAAGGGTCAGGCTAAGCACCTGGGGTCCGACTCACACTAATCCCCATGTGCTGCCCCTACATCAGTGGACCATCATCCCATCAGCCTGCCTCTTCCACCTACTGCATCATGTGGTTCAGAAGGCCACTCCATCATCCCATGTGGAGCCTGCAGGCAGCAGCAGAAGCACATGCAACTCAGGGCCCTAAACATGCCCACCCTTGCTGGGCTCTTATTTCCCCAGTACCCTTTGGGTCCATTCTTTGATAGCAGACCCCAATTGTACACTTATAAAATGCTAGCAGATGTTGTAGTGTTGTGGAGCTCCCAGAGGATGCTTGGCTGTCAAGGATGCCTCTGAGCGGATCCTAAGCTCCCGGGGAACTAAGCCACATCTATGAGTCCCACCCAGCAAGCCTTGGTGGAGTTCCATGTATCAGACTGGGTCGTCCAGCAGATGACCACCACCAAGACTCAACTCATACCTTCCAGTGGCCTTCGGTGTGCTGCATGAACTCCAGCCCATCTTTGACCTCTGCTCTCATCTCATGTATGTGGGCAATAGTGTGCACTGACCACGCATCTGTCGGCTCAATAGATAAAGCCTGCATGAGGTAGGAGATGGGAGGACAAAGAAAATGGAGGTTAGCCTGGCTGCCTGGGCCCAATAAGAGTAAGGGTGGGATTGGGCTCTAACCAGAATAATTACAATCCCGACACCAGCCCCATTTCCTACATACCTGGGGGGGGTATCAATGTATGCCCTACCCACCACAGCAGGCTGATGCCCTCACAGATGAGGAAACTAGAGCTCAAGGGGGCCAGGACTTGCTTCTGGGTACACACCCCAGTCATTTGCAATATGCTACCCAGGAGCTCTATGCTTCAGTTTCCCATGATGGCTTCCAGGGCTGCCTTCCTTTCAGGGCTATGAGAAGTGTTGACTTTGACATCCTTTTGTGGTGAACGACAAGAGGCTGCCCCTCCCACTTATACTCTGGAGATGGACACAGGTGGCTTCCTGAGTTAGAAGCAACCGGTTCTAGCGACACTGTTGTTAATGACAAAATCTACACGAGCCCTGAGCTCCACAGTGAGGCAGAGGGACACATGGACTGACTCCTTCTTCCTTGCCCATCTATTAACCAGGTCAGTTCATGTCTATGGAGCACCCCCTAGTGCTGCGACACGAAGCAGTGAACCGGGGTTCACTGCGACCCCATCACTGGCTCCTGCTCAGAGCCCCACACCAAATCGAGGGCCCCTCAGGCCTGCTTCTGCACAGGCCTGACACTTGCAGCAAGGGTTTTGGCAACATGTCCCCAGTGGTCTCTGGCCCCTGCTTCTGCCCCTCTGCTTTCACAGTCTTGTCCACTCCATGTGGGAAGACAGGGGTCACACAACATGTTTGGAAGGCCTTGGGGCAGAGAGCCTGAGTACTAGGACAGCTGGGGACATGGCAGGGTGCAGCCTGGGCATGGCTGAACATCCCGCTAAGGAACACCTCTAAGCGTCTGCTTTCACACAGGGTAGCTGAGAACTAGGACTCAGCCCTGTTCTTTCTGACCAGCACCCTCACTCACCTGGAGCCCTTGCATGGTTCCCTGGGATACTCCAACTCTCTGCCTACCCCTCATGCCTGAGGTTGACCTGCTGGGATTACTGTCACCTTGTGAGGTCACTGTAGTTCAGTGGAGCCTGGTGCTATCCACCCTTGCCTTGTAGAAACCTGGGGAACACAGCTATAGCCTCGTTTTCGTATCTAGCAACTGTCTGTGGGGGCTGGAGCTAAGGTCAGTGTGGCCTATAGGTGGAGCAAAGGGCAGGGAAGAGCAATGGGTGGGGGTGCTACTCTGCCACATCTTGTTTCTTGGAAGACTTGAGTCTGCATCCTTGGTCATCTCTCTTTGGAGTCAGCTTGTCACAGTGCCACTCAAAGCTCCTTCAACGGCTCTGCTGTCCTCCAGATGCCTAGGTGGTTCCCCCCACCAAACAGCCTTCCTGTGACTTAGCCACAGACGGGCTGGCTCTCTGGCTATCCTGATCATAGAGCTTAGATGGCCAAGAAGCTACCTGGAGCCCTCAGGGCTGACTCGGAGCTAAAGAAAACCAAAACCAAACAAAAAGCCCTCACCTGATCCCTCAATCTGGATTGCGTCTGATTTAGACAACATTCAGACACCCTGAGGATGCTGTCCTGAGGAGGGGGCACTTCAGGCCAGCTGAGGCAATGCCTGGTTCGGGAGCCATAGCAGAGTTGCAGGGAAAGCAAGATCTAGTCCAGGCTGTTTAAAAGACAGGCGTGTGTCAGCTGGCCTAGGTAACAATCTGACCCCTGAGCTTTGTCACCATGGGAGGGCTCTGCCTAGCCTCTCTCTGAGCTGCAGCTCTCTTGTCTGGGCACCAAAATGTTTAACAGTGTGGGCAGAGACCATTGGCAGGAGCAGGAGTGCACAAGTTCCAGTTGTGAACCTGGACCAAGAGCATATGCCACCCTCTATGCATGGCAATACCTCCTTGCACCTTAGTTTCTATTTCTATTCTTGCAAGGACAAGAGTGGCAGAGAAGGACTCCCAGAGCCTGAGCTATCTCGCACCCAGGGCTGTCATTTGACCCTTGCTTCAGGCCTACAGGAAGGGAGTCCCCAGAACTCCAGATCAGCAAACACATCCCAGCAGAATACAGAATACAGGGCCTGAGGCTGAAGCACCTAGCATGATCCACACTGGCTCCACCCCTCCCACTGCTAAGCAACCAGAGTGGTAAGTGATAGCTAAGAGACAAGCCTGTGGGCAGGACAAAGATGCCCCACACACAGTCAGGGAGAAAGAACATAACAAGATCAGGCCCCGACCTTTGAAATCTCCACCCACCTCAAGCCTCGTGGGGCATGGCTAGATCCGGTGGAAAGGTAAAACTCATGGAGGAACAATCACGACTTGCATGGCTCTCCTATAGTGCTCCAGTCCCAGTTGGCCCTGTGGCTGTAGAGCCAACTGGGATTCACAGAAACACAGAGCCACCACTCTGGTAACTCCTGAGTATAAAGAGCCGCCACCTCCCTGAGTCTCACTGCCTCATCTGTTCCAGGGACCTTGGGAGGCTTAGAAGAGTGCTGGGACAGGCGGCTGCTTTCCCTAACAACAGCCCCTCCCAAGAAGACACTCGGTCCTCAAATGAGGGGCCATACCTTGAAGGGCTTCACGGCTTGAGAAGGGCCCACTCACCTCTTTGGCAAGCTTTTGTGCCTGATCATAGAAGTTGGTTTCCATCAGTCCGAAAGAATAGATGCCTTTCACATAGCTGAAAACAGAGAAAAGACTTCAGTATCCCTGGGAAACCATCAGAGCAAGTGGGATGGAGTCCCCCGCAGGATTGGCTGGAGTCCACACACCCAGGGCGTGTATGTGACTGTGTTTGGACACAGGGACTTCACAGATGGAACAGAGGTAAGACACAGTGAGTGGCAATCTGATCACTGTTGTCCACTTCGTTAAAAGGCCGTGCAGAGCTGGTGTCAAGGAAAAGGGATTTGCTGACACCCTGATTCTGCTCAGGCCTTAGGCAAGAGTCAGCAATGAAAGTTTGACTCATGGCCCCAACCCAGAGAGGAGCTGGCTCAGCAGTCTTCTTTTTGAGCTTCCTTTAGTTCAAAGATCTATTTTCTCAGACATCAATGCAGGGTCTCTTTCACGGAGGATGACACAGTCTATTCACACCTTCCTGGGAAGCCTGGCACTCTGGATAGCTCCTCTCAGGCTTCTGTGCACCATTCTTCACCCAGCCTGGGAGCACCCACTCACCAGCCCGCTACCTCACAGAACTCATTCCACAGCCCTGGTTGTCTGGCTCACCCTTCATTCTGGCCCACATTCTCTGAATGACCACATACTTGCACTTCTCATCAGGCACCCAGGCACTGAGCCCCAAGACTCAGGTCACAGGTCACCAACGGGCTCTACCCTGTGTGAGCAAAGACAGAAGCTGCTATCTAGGGCTCCAGTGTCACTTTTACTGTCACACAGGGGCAAATGGCAGCTTTTACTGGAGACCAGTGACTTGCAGGTGATTTTTAAAAATATCTACCACTCAGGAAGCAGAGGCAAGCTGATCTCTGTGATTTTGAGGTCAGCCTGGTCTACAGAGCTTGTTCCAGGTCAGCCAGGAAGGGCTACACAGAGAAACCCTGTCTCAAAATACGAACAAACAAACAAATTTACCAAGAGCTTGTGGAAGGTCAGGTACTATTAGCTTGTGAGTTGTTTAATCATCCATTTGGCTGAACCATGGTACCTGGATCTGTGATTAGGCACCATTCTAAGGGTCACCACAAAGGTATTTATATCAGATGTGTGCTGTGGAATTATCCTTCTGTACACTGTGAACATGTATTACTATCATGGTTAATAAAGAAGCTGACAGGCCTGCAGCAAGGCAGGACAAAGTTAGGCTGAACAACCAAACTGAGGATACTGGGATGAAGAAGGGCAGAGTCAGAGGAGATGCCAGCCAGCCACCGAGGAAACAGAATGTGTAGAAAATGAGGTCACAAGTCAGGAGCCACATGGCAAAGCACAGATAAGAAATATGGATTAATTTAAGTGTAAGAGTTAGCTAGTAACAAGCCTGAGCTATCGACCAAGCATTTGTCAGTAATATTAAGCCTCTGTGTTGGCTATTTAGGAGCAGGCAGTCAGGACAGGAAAGCTTCGCCTACAGGTGTGCTTTTAAATCAGTAGACTTAGAGACAAACAAGATTCTCAATAATATGGGGGTGGGTCTCATCCGATCAGGTGATGGTCATAGAGAAAAGTCCCAGAAAGAAAAGGATACTCTGCCTTCCAGGTTCCTTTAGATATGAAGAGGAAGTTGACTTTTTGGGGAATTTCTAGCCTGTCACCCTGCCCTAAAGGTTCTGAATTTTCTAGATGCTCCCTAGCTGCCCTCTGGAGAACACTCCTTTTCCTCATAGCCACTGGTGTATCCACAGGTCATTGCTCTAACCATCTTGAAAATAGACAAGGATGTGGTCACAGCACCCTTAGCCTTGTACAGATGAACAAGGAACAGCCAGGAGTGGTGGCTCATTTCCTGCAATCACAGCACATAAGATTGCCATGAATTTAAGGCCAACCTGGGTTACAGAATCAGATCCCATCGTAAAAAAGTAAAACTAATGATAGACATAAAGTTTGGGTATTAAGCTTTGCAGAATATAATATTGGGGATGCTTGTTAGTACAACAAAAAATGCTATCTGACTGATACACAGTGGTACCATCTTGTTCACAGGATGGGATGAAGATCAAATGAAGAAAAAGGATCCTTTTAAATTAGCAGCAAGAGTCTTGTTATCTTTAGGCTGGGGCCAATAGAGTTTCTATGCCTTTGGGGCAGAGGAGAGAGACTGAAGAATGAGATGATATGGCTTCTTGCTGGCATGTACCTGCTAAGGGGGACGTCAGGTGTCCAAAAGGGGTAAATTCGAGCCACAGAATCCCGCATCTGCTCCTGGAAGCCCAGATAGAAGTAGGCATCATGGGAAAACTTCAGAGCCAACATGTCTGTTGGGTGGTCCCGGAGGATCTGTTCCCAGAGATCACAGGCTTTTGGGAAGTTTCTGCAAGACAAGAACACGCTGAGCGTGAAGTCCATATCCACGCGGGGTGAAAAGCCATCCTATGTCACTATTAAGCAATTACATCTGGGGCTGGGGAGATGGCACAATAGGTAAGAGTGCTTGCTACACAGCATGAAGACCAGAGTTCAAATCCCCAGCAGCAGAGTAAAATTCAGGCAGGGCCATGCTCCTGTTACCCCAGTGGTGAAGAAAGAAGGGTTCGGGGGGCTTGCTGGCCACCAGTCTGTCTGAAAGACCGTGAGCTCTAGGTTCAGTGAGAGACCTTGTCTCAAGGAACAAAGATGGAGAGCGATAGGATGGGACACTTGACCATCCTCGTCTGGCCTCTGAGCACAAGGGCACATGCATATCTCACCAACACAGACGTGTGCACACACGACAACACACCCTGCACACAAAAATCAAATATATATATATATTATAGTTAAGTATGTGTGTCACACCTGGATCATGGAACTAAAAAGGAGTGCAATCTGAAGGGAGGAGGAAATACGAAAAGCAATGGACTATGTGTGACATGAAAGCAGAGGGGCATCTTGGGGGAGGAGGAAAATAAGCCAGAGTGGGGCTGGGGCTTGAGGACAGACAGCAGGGATGGTGGTGAGGAAAACAAGGTCTGGTAACACCCACTGCTTTGTATGCAATAGTAATTCATAAAAAGAGAAACTGTTTCTAACTGAGAAAAAGAAATTCCATCAAGAGCTAGGAATGTAGTTGGAGCTTGCTTAGCAGGCAGAGTTCTGGAGAGCCCACACCCAACACTGCACAGTTAAAAATGTTATAGACATACATATGTACTCACTTTCTATGTTAGGTTATACCTCATAAAATTCAAAACCCTGTGGGAAATTTTACCTTCTCACTCAACTTCAGGAAGAAAACCAGGGGACCTGGAGATGGCTCCGAGGTTAACAGCACTTGCTGCTTTCACAGAGGTCCCAGATTCAGTTCCCGGCACCCCTAGTACAGCTTAAAGCCATCTATAATGCCAATGGCGGGAGTGCTGGGGCCTTTTCCAGGTCTCCTTGGGCACCAGGCACATGTGATACACAGATATACATATAAGGAAAACACTCAAGACACGTAACATAAACAAATCTTTAAAAGAAGAAAGAGAAAACCAGGTTTGGTGTATATGTGTGTGTGGGAGGGTGTGGGGGGGTGTGTATGTTGCGCACGGAGGCCAGAGGACAACATCAGGTGTCCCCATCAATTGATCTCTCCCTTATTTCCATAGTCTCTCATTTGAACCTGGACCTTACCAATTCAGTCAGACTGGTGGGCCAATGAGCAGCAGGGATCTGCCTGTCTCTGCCTCCCCCTGGCTTTTTGCCTGGGTGCTGGGCATCTGGACTCAGATCCCTAAACCTGTGTAGCATGCATCCTATCAGCTGAGCCTTCTCTTCAGGATGGCTCACCTGTTCAAGCAGACAGAGGGACTACCCTGGAGGACTGTGGGAATGGAGGCAGGGAACCATCTGGAAGGTAGAGAGCTGATGCACACAGTGTTGGAATCCTGAACATACCCTAAAGACCTGTATGTTGAAGGCTGGGTGTCTCAGCCTGAGGTACTGCTGGGGAGTGGTGCAATCTTCCAGAGTTTGGGGCCTGGTGATGTTCTATTAGGTCACTGAAAGCATGCCTACGAGGGGAACATTGGGACCTTGGTCCCATCTTGACTTTCCTGACTGCTATGAGGTGAGCAGCTTCCTCTACTACCTATTACTACCATGAAGCACAAGCCATAGAGTAAGTGCCCAAGGACTGAAGCCTTTGAAACCATATGCCAAAATAAACCTTTCTTCCTTATAAATATATTGTCTCAGGTATTTCGTTACAACAGAAGGCTGACAAATACAGAGCAAGAAGCAAAAAGGTCAATTGTACCCTGGGCGTTGGTGGTGCATGCCTTTAATCCCAGCACTCCAGAGGCAGAGGCAGGTGGATCTCTGTGAGTTCCAGGCCAGCCTGGTCTACAGAGCGAGTTCCAGGACAGCCTCCAAAACAATACAGAGAAACCCTGTCTCAAAAAACAAAAACAAAAATAAAAAAACAAAACAAAACAAAAAGGTCAATTGTTTCCTTCTCTTTCCTAGATGCTATGATTAAAATAGTAACCATGTGAATGAACCATAGCTATTCTGAACCCTAAACTGGAAACCCTCGATAAATACTTCTTCATTCAGAATTCATTTGGGGAGGGGGGGTAGGGTGGCAGGCTGGTGAGACCCTTAACCCCTGAGGCATCACCTTGCACAAGCTCCGAGTCCCAACCCCCAGTCCAGTGAGGCCCCTCACCCCTTGGCAAACATCTCCACCGCAGACACATGTAGCTGCTCCCGAGGTGTCAGAGTCTGGGTCTGGGAAACCTCCATCATCGTCCTCACAGCCAGGTCCAGGTCTTTGTCCAGCTTCACGGAGCTTCCCGTGCCAATGAGCACAAGGCCGTTAGAGATGGCATGACCCATGGCTGACAGAAGATTGGAAGACAGCTGGTCACTCAACCTAGCCCAGCCCCACACTCCCAAGGTGTGAGCCATGCTGGGTACAGGTCCACTGTGTTCGAGGCCCTTATCAAAACCTGGATCTCAGCTAGCTGGGAGGCGCACTCCTTTAATCCTAGCATTCCAGAGGTAGAGGCAGGTGGATCTCTGTGAGTTCCAGGCCTGCCTGGTCTACAGAGTGAGTTCCAGGACAGCCAAGGGCTACACAGAGAAACCCTGTCTCACAAACACAAAACAAAACAAAACCCTGGATCTCAGCTCTGGCTTTCAGCAGGCAGGGGATGAAGAAGCACCTTCTAAGTAACTGAGGTAATTTTTTTTAAATTGGGCTTTCTGTTGAACTCCAAGGTCTGAAGCACTTCCCTCTACATTGACTGGCATTACTGCTATAACCAGCCCAGACCTCCCAGGATGCTCTGTGGACGCCATTCAAGGAGCTGAATCAACAAGGCCTTGGAGAACAGACTGTGTTCCCATTCCGCTGCCCTCACACATGATGGTGAGGATGGTGGTGCTTAGTGAAGGTGAGGTCTCAGGCCCCACCCATGCTTCCCAGCCCCATCTCCAGAAAAGAAGGGTGTCCCCTGATTTGCAGAACTGAATAACTGCCACTGGCCTAGAAAACAAACAAACAAACAAACAAAAACATAGTACTAGGATACTCCCAGCCCAGCTAGTGGACTCTGCTTGCAGAGTGGGTCCACTCTGACCACTAGCTGTCCCTGTGGCTGCATTTGGCTTGCCCTGCTTTTTTCCTGTCTCTCCTCATTCTGTCCTTGCCAGGATAATAGGGCCCTTGGCTTTAGCGAGGCCAGGCTGCTGCACGTGTTAAGAACATCCCTAACACCCATCTTCATCTTAGAAGTCTTCTCAAAGGCCAGGATCCTCACCCCACCCTCGGGCCACCCATCTTGGATTCTGAAATGTACTGGACTGACCTCCCGCAGCCCGCTGCATACGAGGCTTCCCATGAGCCAGGTTCAGTCTATCTCCATCCAGCTCTGGAGATGTCCGGGATCCTGAGACCCCTGACAAAGGTTTCAGAAGCCACCCCTTGTGTGCTAGGATTCTGGGCTTTAGAGCCAGCTAGACTCAGGTATGTGTCTCATTTCACTGCGCCCCGGTTTCCCCATCTAAGTAGTTAAATTGATGGTTTCGTCAAACTGATGATAACTAGAGAAAAGGTATCCTCATGGGAGCAACCATTGTTCCAAACACAAAAGTAGTTGTCATCACACCCTCCTCTGTGCAAGTGTCAGCTCAGTCACTGTCCCCAATATGTCCCATGCCCCTACCCCACCCCCGCCAAGTGAGTCCCCAGTGTCAGGGCGTGTGACCAATGCTCCTCTACCTAGGGAGAGCTTTACTCACCGAAAGTTGGGTCTGCTGCCTTGAGCTTTGACAGGCAGCCCTCGATGCCACCAAGACTCTTGTCGTTGGTCCACTTGACATACTGGAATGAGAAATACAAAATTAGTTTGTCTGAGTGGAGGCCTTAGATCGTATTGATGAAAGCATGTATCTAAACTTGGATTTTTTTGGGTGGGGGGTCAGGGCGCTGGAGTTCAAACTTGGGGTCTCCCATAAGCTCCACTGCTGAGGGAGTCCCAGATCTGAATTCTTTTTCTTTCAAGAACACTGAGCATTTTCTGGACTCTAATTCAAAGAAGGTATAACTTAATTGGTCTTCTAGGTGGAGATTAAATACACATGGTTGGGTGGCACCTCCTAGGGCTGGGGATGCCCACTGCCAGAAAAGAACTGTGGAAAAGCAGGTCCTTCCCAAGAGATGAGGTGCACCATGCCCCCTTCTTCAGCACCAAGGGGCACTCTGGAGTCACTTACACAATTCCTGCTTCATTTCTTTCAAAAATAACCATAGTAAGCCAGGTATGGACGCTGACATTCATAATCCCAACAATCAGGGGATGGAGTCAGGAAGCTTGCTGTAGGTTCCAGGTCAATCTGGGCTACAGTATGAGACCCAAGCAAACCAAAAGACCATGCCCGGTGCTCATTGCCATTAGAGACACAAAGGCTGGAAGATGGAAAGGCCAGTTTTTGCTTTCTATCTGTGTCTGCAGACTCAGGGGCACCTTCGCTCGGCCTCTGATGTACTGGATGACACTTGACTCAAACAGCCCCCCAATGTCCCACCTGGCAAAAAAGCTACTTGGACCATCCTTCTGAGACCCTGTCCCTTCTCCTATAAGCCCACAAGTCCCTGAACTACAGGATCCTTCACCGGTGTGAAGTGCCTGGGAATGGAGAAAGATCTTGGTCCAGCTAGCATGAAATGAGCCTCAGGACATGACCCCAGGCCTACATGGCAGAGCTCACAACAAATCCTCAGCAGGCCATAGTGGGACGCCGAGATGGCTCAGCATAATTCATTGCTGTCCATTCTTGAACTGGGAACCTTGTGATTAGGGCTAGTGGGGCTGGCAGAGACACTTCCCATATTGTTGGACCTCCGTAGCCAAGTGCATATTTTTACTGCAATGGGATTGACAGGGCATCCATCCACCAATCGAAAGCCCTCCTCAGAGCCCTCCAAGGAGGACACGAGTCTCTTGACACAGGCATACCTGGGTCAAGGTGGCATCAAACAGCTTGCAGGCTTCATTGCTTGTGGTTGAGAGCGCGAGCCCAGCATCCTTCCAAGCCTACACAACAGGGAAGGAACACCAGGGGCTTACTGAGCTGAGCCTCCAAACCCTTGGTTACCTGCCCCCCTGGAAAATCTCTAAGCGAGCCCAGTGAGGTGATGGGAGTTCCATTAGCAGGAGTGATGGGAAGCCTGGCCCTGGGTGTCTATCTCGAAGGATGTCTGGCTTGTGGATTGTCTAGCAAGATGTGTACTCCCTGCCAATACTGTGTGGGAGGAGTTGGACCAGTTGGAATTCCTTCAGATTATAATAGCTGCCCTCAGGGTGCAAAGTGCCAGTTGTTTCTCTAGGGCGTGGGACATGACCTTTAGTCCTGGCCAGCAAAGGTCTGCACCTCCCAGGACTTGGAAATTAGGCGTTGTGCTGCTTGCTCCTCCTTTCATCTTCCTTGTCTAAAAAGTGAGCTCAAGGTCCTGGCCCTGGATGGCTTCATACGAAAAGCTTCCTGGAGTTAAGCCCCGTGCATGAGCTTTCGCTGGTGTCCCCTGACTGCGAACCACTCGGTAGTCCCCTCCACCCTCAGCTGCAAAGGCACAGCGCCACCGCGCGCTCAGGACCAGGTCCTCTGCCTGACTCGGATGACCTGAAGCTTTGCTCCTGACTGCTCAGCGTTGGGCCAACTCCGGAACCCTGGAGGAGCCAGCCGAGGGGGTGTGCGTACCTTGCAGTCTCGAAGTGACATGATTGTGGTTTTGGTCAGCAGAGTGAGGGTCAGCTGGTTAAGGCTCTTGGAAGTCCCCAAGCCTTCCCGGGAAGTGAGGGTGTTGTTGATTGCGGAAGGGGGCGGGGCGAGGGCGGCAGAGCTCCCCGATCGCTCACTGGTGGCTTTGGATGCACGTGTCCTGCTCAGGACCCAAACCTACCCGCCCCTGAAACCGGGGGTGAGGAGAGGGTGTGGGAGGTGTGGGTGTGGGTTTGAGTAAGGAAGGGGAAGGAGGTGGGGTGAAGGGAGGACACACCTGGGCACCCTGGCGGTATTCCCCACCTAGGGTGCTCAGAACTAGCCTGGTGGCTCCAGCCCCTGCTACCAAGCCCCACATAGCTAGAGGTACCCAGCTTAGATTTGTGCTTCAGTCTCCTCCTTGCCCTCTAATGATGTGGGTGCTCTAGCCTCTCCTGGCCCGAGTCTCCCTCACTAGGCCAGAGGCCATCCGGAGGCTTGGGAGGCTTGGGAGCCCTGGGCCAGTGCTTGGAGTCCCATGCACCTTAGTCAAGAGCTGTACTACCGAGCTATATTCGCCCCAATTTTTTTTTCCAGTTTTGAGTTAGGATCTCACTAAATTGCCCAAGCTGATCTTAGATCAGCTTTGTAGCTTAGGTGGTGGGCTTTGAACTTGGGATCCTCTTGCCTAGAATTGTTACATTACTTGTCAATAATGCCTGACTGCATTACAAATCTGTCCCACCAGGCCTGGCTGTCACTTGAAAGTTCTAGGTAGCCTTCCTCCAACCTGCCAGCCTCGGGCACTCACACCTCAGCTTTTAGATAATTCCTCCCTGACAGTCTTCACCCATGAACTCCACTGCTGCCCTGGGCCAATACCCCTCCCTTCTCTGGGGCTTGGAGGATAACACAGTTCTCCTTGCTCCCTATAGAAGTTTCTACCCAGTGTGTGTGGGGAGTCAGGTGAGCAGGAAGGGTTCAGAAACAGATCCTGTCTTTGTTTACAATGTTGGTATTTTGTCATAGATTTTAGGTACTACTGTTCACTTTCAGAAGTAAATTAAAATACTGTTTTATATAAGTGCTGAAGAGGTACCCCCCCTTTTTTTCCTTAAAGACAATAGTCTCACCATATAGATCTGGCCGGCCTTGAACTCACAGAGATCCACTTGCCTCTGCATCCAGAGTGCTGGGATTACAGTTGTGTGCCTTCCCAGCTGGCATTGATACCATGTTAACAGCAAACATGGTTGGAGGTGACTCTAGTGTCTTTGGATTTGACAGTGGACTACTAGACACAGCACTGAAACGCCCACCACTAACAAAACGGATCAGTTGAACTTCACTAAATTAGCATATTTTCTGAACCAAAGGACACTTGTGAGAGCAAAAGTTACATTTTAAGTTTTAATTAGTATGCCTCAGAGATCCATGAAACAAAAATGCCTCTGATCTGCAAGCTCCTTGCCCAAGGACAGATGGCTCCTGAAATGCTGGAAGCTATTGTTTATGGGAGATAACAAGCCACATGTTTTCACTCCCCTCAGCAAGTTTGTTTGACCCATCAGCTAGGGTTGTGCTTGATTACATGTGGGCGGGAGGTTCACAGGCCGAAACTACGTCAGGATGTATGCTTGCCCCTGATTGGATACAGGCTCCAGGAACATAAAGATGTATGCTTGCCTCTGACTGGATCTGATGAGAAATGCAATGAATTATGGGTTTTCCTTCTTAAAGGGCTGCAAACCGTGACTCATGGCCATTTCCCAGGAACTTGGATGTGGACCTGGCCAGTATTTCATTAAAGCTTGCTTCAAATTTGGCTTTAAACTGTGGTAGTGGCCTTACTCTCAATCAGTGGGATTAACACACTATCAGAAAAAGAAAGGGAATATAGAATGGGAGAAAAATACTTGCAAATCATATATTAGATAAGGGCCTAGTATCCAGAATCTATAAAGAAATCTTGGGGCTGGAGAGATAGGCTCAATAGTTAACAGTACTCGCTGTTCTTGCAGAGGACCCGGGTTTGGTTCCCAACACCCACACCAAGTGCTATTTGTAACTTTAGCCTGGAGATCCATGTTGTTTGGCCTCTGTGGGCACCTACACGCATATGGTGCACATAAACTCATTCAGGTACACATACATATACATAAATAATAATAAATATTTTTAAAGAAAATTCTTACAACTCAAGAGGAAAATGTTAAACAGTCAAGCTAGAAATTGGCAAAAGAAGAAGAAAAAAGAAAACAAAAAAAACAAGCAGAGGATTTGAGTGGGTATCTCCCCAAAGAAGACACACACTTGGCTACTGGAGAGGTTGGAAGGTTCACAGTGCTGTAGCTAAGTGAAAGAAGTCAAGCACACATCATCATCATCATCATCACCATCACCATCGCTATCATCATCATCATCACCACACCACCACCATCACCATCATCATCATCATCACCATCACCGTCGCTATCATCACCATCACTACCGCCATCACCACCACCACCACCTCCACCACCACCACCACCGTCATCATCATCATCAGGTATATGTTAAATGTCCATAATAGATTGGTAGAAACAGAAAGCAGACCAGAAAGAGGCCAGGGCAGGGGAGGACACGAGATCACTGCCAGCGGTGGTGGGGGTTTTCTTTGGAGGTGACAAACTATTTGGCTGCAAAACCTTAATATATACTCAATACCACTTAGCTTTACCCTTCTGAATAGGTGACATCATGTGATTACCACTTCAGTAAAGATACTGTCTTGATCAATGAGGTTCTGTGCCACATTCTCTCTGAATCTTGCAACTGAGTTGGGCTCCCTGTCCCCTCCTCATTCTCTACAGGCTGGTGTCAACCAGATCATCACTTTAGAGAAGAATCCGGAGACTGCTGGCCTCCAGTGAATCTGGAGAGTCCCAGAACCCAAATCACCAGTATTTCATTCATGCACAACCAGAAGGGCCCCCCAAATACCATGAAGAAACCAATGGGGTGAAGGGGGGCCTCAGTTGGTAGGGTGCTAGCTGTCAAGCCAGATAAACTGAATTTAATTCTTAGAATTCAACTCTGGAAAGCTGTCCTCTGATCTCCACATAGGTGTGTATGTGCCCGCCTCCCCACCAAACAAAGAAGCACATATATGTTTTTAAAAAAGGGTGTTGTTTTAAACTAAATCTCAATCATTCAATTTTACCAATAAAGACTTGGGAGACAGATGCTGGGGTGAAAGCCTGCTATCTCAGAGAGGCAGAGAAAGCACCTAGCTGACCTTCCTCCTGAGCCGATGTTCCTCCACAAAAAACTCCCTCTGCCATCTCAAACAAAAAACCTCAGACTGAATGTGCCTCCCTTCTACCTCCTGTATGTCTATCTGCCCTGACTCCCTCATTCTTTTTTTTTATCTTCTTGTTCACTTTCTGTCAACTGGTTGCTTGCTCCACTCTGGACCTATGGCTGACTTTATTTAATCCTGTTTACACTAAGCAGAAAGCTCTTGGATTAAAGGTGTGTGCTAGTGTTGAGCCTCACCACAACTAGAAACAGGTTTTTCCAGTAAATAATGCAATCTCAGGTTTACAGTGTAATCAAATATCCTGCAATTTAAGAGCATGAAGAAGGCCTGTACAGAGGTCAGTGAGAGCCTGGGTCTCTGGCACAGAGGCTGAAGGGACAGCGGAGGGTGCCTCTGAGGCCAATGGAGATGCCAGCATGCTGTGGTTTCCCCCACCAAAGAGCAGGAACTTCCTGAAGCCCTCTGGCCTATACCCATGGGCTCACAAGCTGGTATGGGATGCAGCAGAAGCTCTAAGGCATGGGGGCTGTGGTGGGGAGGGCACTCTCCAAGTAGGGCAGAGTATAAAGGGTGTTCATGTTTACCATAGCCTTGATATAGCCTTGAACGTGAGGGTAGGCTGGGAAAAACTCTGCAAACCCAGGGTTTGAGAATGTCTGGGGAAGCAGGGCGTTGGTGGCACACACCTTTAATCCCAGCATTCGGGAGGCAGAGGCAGGCAGATCTCTGTGAGTTCGAGGCCAGCCTGTTCTGGTCTACAGAGCGAGTTCCAGGACAGCCTCCAAAACAATACAGAGAAACCCATCTCGGAAAAAAAACAAAAAACAACAACAAAAAGGAATGTCTGGGGAAGTCCTGGTTAACTGAGGAACCCCAGGTGAGAAGGAGACTCTTGGAAAGACCCAGTCCTCAGGGAAGAATCAGGTTCAGGGATGTGCAGTCCAGCGGCATCAGAGATGCAGGGGTTCTCTGGATTAATTTCCACTTTGGTGAACAGAGGTGACTTGAGGAACCAGCAAAAGTCAGGGCAGTTGCTGGGAGAAGTTAATGTAGAATAAAGTCTGAGTTTTGCTACTTCTGACCTGTCAATTACTGGAAAGAAAGAAAAAACACCAAGCACTTTTAATCTAGGGCTCAAGGTTTTATGCCTCACATTCTGAAGACTGGAAATCCAAGAGACACGGCATGATCTTGGTGAGGACCTACTTCTAAGTTTGCAGATGACCACAGAGAATGATCCTAGCAATGAGGAGACTGAGGCAGGAGGATCTCCAGTTGGTTCCTGGGAAGACACTGTCTAAAACAAGCAAGCAAACAAAACATTTAAAAGTGGAGGGAAGAAAAAACAAAAACAAGTGTCAAATGTCCCCAGACTGGCCTGAGGCGCTGGCAAGGTCCTCCTGATTATATTATTTTGGAACTGGTTTTCCCGTTGGAGCGGAATTTCTGCTAAGAAGCTTTTTTGGTGTGTCCAGTTTTATAAACAAGAAAAGAGGAGGGGGCGGGAACGGATTAACCTCGTTTAGCAAGCCCTGATCCTAGAGTCTACACCTGTGTGAGCAGCAGGAAGCAGTCTTGAGCCAGGCTGCTGCCTGTGGTGACCTACCTTACTTCTGTCTTTCTAAAGATGCCATTGTCCTTAACTGCCCAGTGCGCTGTGATCGCATTGGTCCCAGCTGCACTCTGATTCTCCTAGGTCCTGAGACTCCCGAGACCCACTTCCCCTGGAAACTGACTGTCTGTAACTTCCCACACCACAGTGTTCTGTGGTTCTCCTTGGTCCTGAGACCTTTGATGACCCTGAGGACCCACTGTTCCTGGGAAC